GCGCCCTCGGTCTCTCTCTCTCTCTCTCACTGTCTCACTCTCTCTCCCCCCCTCGGTGCCCTGTAGGTCTGGGAGGGTCGATGGCGGGTTATTCCCCATGAGGTGTTACCGGATTGGCTGAAGGATAATGACTTCCTCCTACATGGACACCGCCCTCCGATGCCGTCGTTCCGAGCCTGCTTCCGAAGTATCTTCCGGCTGCACACCGAGACCGGCAACATCTGGTCACACTTAATAGGTAACTCCCCTTCACCCCCACCCCCATCCCCGACCTCACCCCCATCCCCGACCTCACCCCCACCCCCATCCCCCACCTCACCCCCACCCTGTTCCCCCACCTTCTCCTGCCCAGCCTCCCTCCCTCTTCCACTCCCCACCCATCCTTCTCTCCCTACTTCCCCCCACACCCCATCAAGTCTGTCTCCCTCCCTCTCTCTCTGCCAGTCCATCTCTCTCTGTACCCCCGTCCCCCATCTCACTCTCTCTCTCTCCCTCTCTCTCCCTCTCTCTCCCTCTCTCTCTTCTGTCTCTCTCTCTCTCTCTCTCTCTCTCTCTCTACACCTCTCTCTCTCCCCCTCCCTCTCCCCTGGTCGGTCTTTCTCTCTCTGTCTGTCTCTTCTCTCTCTCTCTATACATCTCTCTCTCCCCCTCCCACTCCCACTCCCCTGGTCGGTCTCTCTGTCTCTCTCTCTCTCCATCTCTCTCTCTCTCTCTCTGTCTCTCTCTCTCTCTCTATACATCTCTCTCTCTCCCTCCCTCTCCCCTGTTGCTCGCGCTCTGTCTCTCTATGCATCTCTCTCTCTCTCCCTCCCTCTCCCCATGGGCACTCTCTCACGCTGTCTCTCTTCCCCCCTCCTCCCTAACTCCCCAGTCTCTCTCTCCCTCCCATCCATCAACCCGCCACCTCCCCCAAACTCCCACCAATATTCTCCACCAACGTCCCCCCCCAGTTTCTCTCCCCAGTTTTCCCTCGAAACACATTGCAGCCTAGACCCTAACTTTTATTTTACATAAAGCAAGTGCGAGGCCCCATATCCCAGATGCCACTCCATTGGCCAAACTACCAGACTTTAAGCAAAATATACTTATTCTTACTCCTCGGTTAAAATACAAACAAAACAAAAATTGGCGCAACTTTTAATTCTATTGAAACAATTTATTGGTTAACTCTAAGACATTAAATGTTCCAGAATAGCAGTGTCCCATGAACACGCCCTTGGCACAGGCACATTCAGCAAAACAGATTTGCTCCTTTGCTATCTCTGGTCCAGGAGAGCGACCCACCGACAGAAATAAACCAGACAGCATAGAGAGAGAGAGAGATGTTTAACTGCACCAGAGTATCCATTAGCTTCAAAAAAACCCCAGAAAGCATAAACAAAACTTCCAGGGGCTGTGTGTGTGAGAGCCTGAATCCACGCACTCATGCTGCTTTCCCCATAGACACAGCTGCTCGGACGGCAGAAACGGGAGAGAGAGAGAAACCCACTCGTGCGAAAATCGATCCTGACATCTTCCTCTCCCTTTTTATTTTCCGTCCAGGCTTCCTTTTCTTCCTGATCCTGGGCGTTTTCTACATGTTCAGGCCCAACATCAACTTTGTGGCTCCGGTACAAGAGAAGGTAGTGTTTGGCATGTTCTTCCTGGGAGCTGTGCTGTGTCTCTGCTTCTCCTGGCTCTTCCACACCGTCTACTGCCACTCTGAGAAAGTCTCGCGGACTTTCTCCAAGTAAGTCACCTCCGAGCTTCCTCATCACACACAGAGAGACGGAGAGAAAGGGGATTTGTATACAGAATAACAGATACCCCGGGAGGGAGTTACAGACTGGAATCTAATCGAGGGGGTTCGGGGGGGTTTATATACAGAATAACAGATACCCCGGGAGGGAGTTACAGACTGGAATCTGATCGAGGGGTGGTTTATTACTCTGTGATCACTCTGTTCTCTTGCACCACTTCCCCCCCCGCCTCCTTTTGCCTGTAGGTTAGATTACTCTGGGATCGCTCTCCTGATCATGGGCAGTTTTGTCCCCTGGTTGTATTACTCCTTCTACTGCTCGCCGCAGCCCCGTCTCATCTATCTGGTGATTATCTGTGTGCTCGGCATCACGGCAATAGTGGTTTGTCAGTGGGATCGCTTTGCAACACCTCAATACAGGGCTGTTCGCGCCGGTAAGCACAGCGCACCGTGTTAGAACGGCATCTCTGGGGCTATTTATACCCTCCCCTCTCTCTCTCTCTCGGCTGAACTGTGATCCTGGGTGTGTAATGCCCCTCTCGTCCTGCCCCCCTGGTGATTCTTTGGGGGGTAAATAATGAGGAATAAGTACAGGAGCTGACTAGAGCAGCAGATGTTAGGTCTGTCAGGAACACGCACTGGGGTAAACAGTGTGTCTCTGTGTGCGAGTCTCTGGGGGTGTGTGTGTGTCTGGGGTGGTGTGTGTCTGTGCGTACACACACACAGGTGAGCATTTGTGAGCCTGTATCTGTGTGATTTTTGTGAGAGACAGAGAGAGTGTGACTGTGCATCTGTTTCTGTGCTGGTGGTGTGTGTGTTTCTGTGCATTTGTGTGTGAGGCAGAGAGCGTGAGTGTGTGCGCGTTGTTGGGTGAGAGAGCGCGCGCGTTGTTGGGTGAGAGAGCGTGTGCACGTTGTTGGGTGAGAGAGCGTGTGCGGGTTGTTGGGTGAGAGAGCGCGCGCGTGCGTTGTTGGGTGAGAGAGCACGCGCGCGCGTTGTTGGGTGAGAGAGCGCGCGCGTTGTTGGGTGAGAGAGAGCGCGCGCGCGTTGTTGGGTGAGAGAGCGGTGCGCGTTGTTGGGTGAGAGAGCGCGCGCGCGTTGTTGGGTGAGAGTGAGTGTGCGCGCGTTTTTGTGTGAGAGTGAGTGTGCGCGCGTTTTTGGGTGAGAGTGTGCGTGTCAGTGAGGGGTGGAAGTCCAATAAACAACGCTGATAAACTCGAAGTGATCCAAACCGAGGTAGTGGTTGGGGTGAGGTGGGGGTGGGGGGTGCTGTGTGGGGGGGAGGGAGCATCGAGACCGTGATCGTGTGGGACGTGGGGGCAGGGGACAGAGTGGGCAGTGAGATATCAGAAGCTTAAGTGACAGAAATTGACAACGTCTGTTGTCGATAACTGGGGCGGGGGGGGGCGGGGGGGAGAGAATATTTTCCGTGCAGGATCCGGGGGGTGTGTGGGATATTTCTGGAATAACAGAGATCCTGATGGTTTTCTCCCTTCCCTGTCCCGTTGTTCAGGTGTGTTCCTGGGCCTGGGATTGAGTGGCCTGGTGCCCACGCTCCATTTCATGATTGCTGAGGGTTTCATCAAAGCTGCAACGGTGGGCCAGATGGGCTGGCTGTTCCTAATGGCGATACTGTACATCCTCGGTGTGACACTCTATGCTGCCCGCATCCCAGAGCGCTTCTTCCCTGGCAAGTGTGACATCTGGGTATGTCTCTGTGTGTGTGCGCGCGTGTCTGTGTGTGTGTGTGTGCGCGCGTGTCTCTGTGTGCGCGCGCGCATGTCTGTGTATGTGTACACGCACATGTCTCTGTGTATGTGTACACGCATGTCTCTGTATATGTGTGCGCGCGCGTGTCTCTGTGTGTGTGTATGTGCATGCGCGCCTCTGTGTGTGTCTCTGTGTTTCAGCGGCGGGAGTCTGGGAGGAAGCGCGAGGGCAGCCTGGGAAGGTAAGCTTTTCGACTATAAAAGTCTTGCCTCGCGTGACTCCATTTTCGGAGTAAGTGAGGTAATATATTTGGGCGGTTGCTTTACCCGAAACACTACCTAGGTAGTGTCTCCCACCCATCCTCCTCCTCTAACCAAAAATAAAGGTTCTGAGCGCTGATTTGGTAAGGCTACTAGTTTTGTTTTAATAGTCTGTTTGGGAATTCAGAACAGTGGGAATGGATGTTAGGGCAGTTGCATGCTCCTCCTGTAGAATGTGGGAGGTAAGGGTCACCACTAGTGTCCCCACTGACTTCATCTGCGGGAAGTGCACCCAACTCCAGCTCCTCGGAAACCGCGTTAGGGAACTGGAGCTGGAGCTGGATGAACTTCGGATCATTCGGGAGGCTGAGGGGGTAATTGAGAGGAGTTACGGGGAGGTAGTCACACTTCAGGTACAGGAAAAAAGTAGGTGGGTTACAGTCAGGGGACGGAAAGGGAACAGGCAGACAGTGCAGGGATCCCCTGTGGCCGTTCCCCTCAAAAACAAGTATACCGTTTTGGATACTGTTGCGGGGGACGACTTACCAGGGGTAAGCCATGGGGTACAGGTCTCTGGCACAGAGTCTGTCCCTGTTGCTCAGAAGGGAAGGGGGGAGAGGAGGAGAGCATTAGTCATTGGGGACTCCATAGTTAGGGGGACAGATAGGAGATTCTGTGGGAACGAGAGAGACTCGCGGTTGTTGTGTTGCCTCCCAGGTGCCAGGGTCCGTGATGTCTCGGATCGTGTTTTCGGGATCCTTAAGGGGGAGGGGGAGCAGCCCCAAGTCGTGGTCCACATAGGCACCAACGACATAGGTAGGAAAAGGGATGGGGACGTAAGGCAGAAATTCAAGGAGCTAGGGTGGAAGCTTAGAGCTAGAACAAACAGAGTTGTTATCTCTGGTTTGTTACCCGTGCCACGTGCTAGCGAGGCGAGGAATAGGGAGAGAGAGTAGTTGAACACGTGGCTACAGGGATGGTGCAGGAGGGAGGGATTCAGATACCTGGATAATTGGGGCTCATTCTGGGGTAGGTGGGACCTCTAC